CTACTCAGGGATCACTTTGGCCAGTGTGCTGTGGAAGAGCTAAGTTGGGCTACCGGGCGTACTGAAGTCCAAAGTTCTAAAAATCTAACAACCCCACAGTCCTACGGGTGGGGAAAAACAGTCCCAGGTGCCACAGAGCCATCCATGTCATCGAGCGTGTCCACCAATTCCGCCAGGTGGTCGTTCAAGTCATTCACCTGGCGACCCACCGAGCCACGAACGGACCGCATCGACGGCGTCGATGCATAGAGCAGGGACACCGAGCCACGTTCCTTGTATAGGGCGTGGTTGACCGCATCGAAGAGCTGGCTTGTCCAACTTTAAAAGAAAAGAAAAACTCTTAGAGTCTCTTGAAGTAGTTGGAGCCTTACAAAAGTACCCCTATACATTCTATAACTGCCAATGATTGCCTTTCTGTGTATATATGTGCCATACACAAAACATCACAAAACTACTCTAGTTGTACAAGGGTCTCTGCACAAAGCCTCCTCCCCGCCTCATTGGACAAATCATGGCAATCCGATTTGCATGTTGAAGTACACTCTCTCCCCCCACACTTTTACCCTCATGACGGTTACAAGCGGCTTGCCGCTTGCGCCAGTCGTGTATACTGTATATTCTGGTTCTACGGCGTAGTACCCTCAGGAGGCTAGCGTCCACTTAGTACACTTGCAGCAGTGTCACTAGTAACTTTTCGTTCCTGGTGGTAATGCCAGGAGCTACTAGTAGCTTCTTACTCCTAGTTCCTTTTCCGGGTCGACTTTCAGATTTCACTTCCAAAGGTTGCTGAATGTTACACACGTTTCCCCGTGTGACCCATGTGTGACACCAGAATATATTATATATAGGTTGATCTCGCATATAGGAACGCATCTAAACTGTAAGCTAGTGAACAAGTCTTCCCCAACCCACTAGCAGGTGATAAGAGATGACAGTAACTGTAACTAGTAGGGCTTTGGCTTCTGTCCGTCTTCTCCACGATGCAAAGTCCCCCCAAAAAATTTTTCGACCAACGCTCGTGTAGCTTCAAAATGCGGTGTTAAGTCTTAATGTTGCATCGTGGTAGAGACCCCTGCGCAAAAAATCACACGCCGCGAGGGCACGCACATTTTTCTTGCTTTTTCATGTTCCGCCAGTGCTGTGCCACGCTGGTGATCGACGATCAGTGGCCAAGCGGGTAAAACGAACCAGCGTGCTCTCCTGCTAGGCTCGCCAGCTTCAAACTCAACGGCCACGGTGTGGCCCCTTCGTTGGCCCCTGTTGAAAGCGAGCTCGTTAGCGCTGCCAAACCTGTTTGGTTCTAGGACCTGCCAGTGGATTTTGGGGAATTTGTGGGAGCATAAGAGCTGAATACCGGCCAACAAAGGACCGCCACTAGAAAGCTCTTAAGAACACAAAGCTGAGCTCGCTACGGCCAGCTTGGTGCCTGATGGAACACGGCTCACGGCTTACTCAGGCTCCCACGGCTTATTCAGGCTCCCAGGGAGTGTTTCGCGCATCTTCAAATAGATCGGCTTGCTTCTTTAAGACATCTGCGTTGTTCCAGATGCTGACCTCAGTGAGATGACCCAGCCTAATCTGATCGTTTTGACCTGGAGCACAGTGGTGACCACCTCATTCACCAGAACAACTGACCACTTCATTCACCCGTGGGGCCGGGTGGATGTTGAACCCGAAGGTTATCGAAGGTTGCGGGGCTGCGCGAGCTGCGCCCGGACAGCAGGGAGATCCACCGAGAAAATCCGAGAAAAGCAGGGGGCGGATATATAATTGAATATTGTTGGATACTTGGTCAACGATGAGGCAGGGAGAGAAAAATAGCATGGGGAGAAACCGAGAGACCTTTACCAACAGCTGGTGAAGGAATCTTACTTGGATGGGGTTCTCTTTCAGTTCGTCCAAGGTTTCGTGTACTGGTCAACCCTGGTCTTCTGTCTAGTAGTCAGAGTCCTTCACATTTGGCTGAGGCCACGGCAGACTGACGCTCAAAAAGCTCTTTTGCAAACTCGTAGACTGCTCTGTCCTGCCAACACCATTTGGGGTCTTTAGCTACACTGACTGAGGCAGGAAACAAAGAAGGAGGACAAATTGGATGGGTTCATCGGGCTTTCTCCGACGCTCCTTGCGGGTGATGAACTCCACCATATCTTGGTCCTCCTTATCCCAATCCTCCGCATCCGGGACCTGCGTTCGAATGGCCGACCACGGGTGAGTCCAGCAACGTGACAAACGTGATGACGAGTCCAGTTCTACAATCTGTAAGTTTTAAATTGGGGATCTGTTTGGGTTGCGTGCCTTTATAGCATATAGCTCGATGTTTCTTGATTGTGCGCATCCATCCGTATTCGATCTCTTGCAAAATGCACAGAGACGCAGCTGCAGTGCTGCCATTGTGAACTCTAAGTCCACTCCCTGATGTTCCTTCTTATCAACAGTTGTTTTTTCCCGATGTTCCTGATGTTTTATTTACAGTACAGTAGTTTCCTATGTCACGTCTCTTCACATCTCTGGCCTCCAGCAGGGCGTCCCGTGCGATGGTGCCCATGCCGGCCGGTGTCTTGCCATAGAGACGGCCCAAGGAGACCATGGTCTCCGGCAACAACTCAGCGATGCCCACCTAACGACTCAGCCAAGACTGGAACGGGTGGTTCAGAGCGGTTCCGAATTTTCTGGGAGAAGGATTGGTCCAAGCAGAATTGATGCAAGAACTGTGAGCAGAAGCCACACAATGCCCAGTAAGTACACACCCGTGCCTTAGAGCGACTCATAAAAATTGCGTTCTTTAGCGCTCTTTGGGATGTAATTGTCGAATAGGCTGAATGGTATCCGGCCGGCCGACTAACCGAGACGAGTCGGTTCAACCGGATGTGTCCGGTTGCCGGTTGTCCCGGTTGCCCGGTTGGTCGGTTGGCCGGTTGAACCGGGCAACCGGGAAACCTCCGGTTCAGCTGGCGGTTTCCCGGTTGGCCGGTTGAACCGGCGGTTTCCCGGTTGGCCGGCTCAACCGGCGGTTCAACCGGGCAACCGGGTGAACCGGCGGTTGATCCGGTTGGCCGGTTGAACCGTGTCAACCGCCGGTTCAACTGGTCAACCGTGTCAACCGCTGGTTCAACCGGGCAACCGGGAGACAGCCGGTTGAACTGGCGGGAAACCACCGGTTGAGCCGCCCAACCGGGAAACCGCCGGTTGAGCCGGCCAACCGGGAAACCGCCGGTTCAACCGGCCAACCAACCGGGAAACCGGGCAACCGCCGGTTGAGCCGGCCAACCGGGAAACCGCCGGTTGAAAACCGGCGAAACAGCGAAGCACAAACCAAACCGTGTTGATTCCATGTAGGCAGTTAGCACAACCCCCCCCCAACACGCACGTAATGAAGGAACTTCGTCACACCTTTCTGCGATTTTTGACTCTGGTACCGGGCAACCGCCGGTGTGGCCGGGCAACCGGGAAAGGTGTTCGAAGTTAATTACTTCATTACGCGCATGTTGGGGGGGGTTGTGCTAACAGTCTACATTGAATCAACACGGTTTGGTTTTTGGTATACTAGCAAAACTTACACCTGCTGAAGGCCTCTTTAAACACTCGTTTCTGCCATACAGGAATTTGGATGTTAGAGTTAATGTTAGAAGTCACGTTGGGGTTTATGTTGTTGGTGCATAGGCTATAGTCTGCATAGTATGTATGAGTGGAACTTCAAGATGCCGTAACTGTTGCTGATGCTTGTGCAATGTGTGAAGCGCTGCCAACTCTGCATGGCATAAGAGGACGGATGTTGGAGATAACTGATGTGAGAAGGCTTGAGGAGTTCGATTAAGGTAGCACGGCTACAATTCCCTCACTTGGGTGCCCAGCATATCAATCACCAGCACCATCTAACGGTTTGTGGGACGTTTCATTTCTTGGCACACTTGGTACTGCTCGCGTCGAATACTAATCGGATCGCAGGCTGCGGATCTGGCTCTCAGCTCCATGTGCAACTTTTTTCCTCGATCTCACTTCCACACAGGCGTGCGCCTCTCTTTGGGCGTAGGGTCCTGAGCTGAAGTGTGCGCAGAGGAAATTATTGAATTTCAGTGCTGCAGTTCGCTGCAACTAACGCTGCTGCTTACCATGCAGCCAAGTTTGCGCTCAAAACAATTCAAAACAACTTCCTTTGGGTTTTGGGACCGATGGAAGGAGCGCTTGCGACTTGGAAAAGTGTCAGCGCCTAGAACGCAGGTAGTTGTGGCGTTTGTTGTCAAGAGGACAGCTGGTGAGAAAAA